GAGGGACCAAAGGAGGAGCAGAGACAGGTCTGAAGGGGAGAAGCTAGGGCTCATCTCTTCACCATTGTTTCTCATTGGTTTTCTTCCATTCTTACTCTTTTGATGTATCTTGCTATTCTCATGGACATGGATTGCTAAAACCCCTTTGTTGGGGTTAGATGTAGCCAACTTGACTCTCATGTAACTTGTTGAATATATATATATATATATATATATCTTCTTCATTCAAATGTTAGTATCATGTTCTTGTGCTTAATGCTTGTATGGAATGATCAACTATTACATGATTTTTGATTGCTCTTGGTGTGGGAATATCATTGGTAATCTTGTTTAAGAATGTGGTTCCTTGTAAACTTGTGTCTAGGAATGGAACATGAGTTACTTGTTGTGTGGAGCCCTTAAACTTAATGCAAGTGAATTTATTGAAATATTCAAGGGATTGATATTTGGTAATGAAACTTATGCTCTTTTAACCAAGGAATTGGAATTTGAGAAAATTAGTGGGCTAGCATTAATGTTTGAATGAGAAGGAATATTGTGTATGCATGAGATTAAAGTTGGTGAAGTCTAACCCTAACATTTCACTCATATAAGTCAATTCCCAAATTTGCATCTCAAGTGTTTGATGAAAGTCCCCTTTGAATCATTTTACTCTTTTTAGTTTGAAAATTACGAACCATCAAATATGAAATCATTCTTTAGTCTGTATTAGCTTAAATTTCACATATTGTCATTGTATTACTCAAGTCCCTTGGGAAGAACGACTATTACTTCTACTTACTACTTGTGCGATTGGTTCACTTGCCATATTGAAAGAAATCGTCTAACAAGTTTTTGGCGCCGTTGCCGGGGACTTGTGTCTCAATACAAGGCAATTGTGCAATTATAGCTATACTAGACTCCATTCTTTATTCTTTAGTTTTCTTTCTTGTAAAACAATATCTTATTTTACTTTACTTTATTTTATTAGTGGGCTAACTTGTTGTTCTAGTATTTGGTGTGTTCTTGTGTATGCAGGGTACTATCCGAACAAGACGGGTCATTTCTTCGGAACCTTTGCTTAGTGATCCAGAGATTGAGAAAACAGCCAGGAGAAACAATAGCAACACAAGAAGACAGAGGCTACTAAATCAACAAGTCACCCACCAAACTTCATCCTCTCACACTAACACTACTCAACATCTCGATCTAGCTGCAGAAGGAGAAATGGCTGAAGAAGAGCATCATAATCCATTTAATCAACCTCCAAGGAGAACTATTGGGGATTCTATTCTCTACACCAGCCCCCGAAATTTCTCTAGCATGGTGAGGCCTGCTATGAATGAGAAGATTGCTGAAATGAAGCCAGCCCTTTTGCAACTTATAAGCTCTCATCAGTTCGCTGGGTTAGATCATGAAGACCCACATACTCATTTGTACACCTTCTATGAGTTGTGTAGCTCAGTTGGAATTTCTGGAGATGACGAGGAGGCTTTGTTCATGAGGTTATTTCCATTCTCTCACTGGGAAGGCCAAGGCTTGGCTCCAATCACAGCCTAACCAAAGTCTAACCAGTTGGAGGGATGTGGAGACAAAATTTCTAGCTCGTTTCTTCCCACCATCCAAGAATACAGAAGCCAAGGCCGCTATTGTTACATTTGTGCAAGGAGTTGATGAACCCTTGTGTGAGGCATGGGAGAGATATAAAGCTTTGCTTAGGAAGTGTCCCAATCATGGTTTTGATATAGAGATGCAAGTTCAGACTTTTTGCAATGGTTTACAACCACAAACAAAAATGATTTTGGATGCTTCTTTTGGTGGCTCTGTTTTGTTCAAGACTGCCGATGAAGCTATCACAATTATTGAATCTATGGCATCTACTGACTTGCGAAGCCAACATGGGAGGGGTCAAGCACAAAGGAGGGGAGTATTAGAATTGAGTACTCAAGACGCCCTCTTAGCTCAACATAAGCTTCTTACTCAACAAATCGAATCTCTCAACCAACAAATGGCTAAATTACCTCAACAACTCCAAGCCATGCATGCCAATCCTTGCCAAACTCAACAAGTTATGCGGTGTGATTTTTGTGGAGGTGATCATTCCAATGGCTATTGTCAAGTTCCTAGTGGCTCCCAAGGTGAAGAAGTCAATTATATGGGGAACCAAGGACGCCAAAATTTTCCTAACAATCCTTATCCTAGCTCTTACAACCAAGGGTGGAGAAACAATAATGCTCAATTTGGAGGGAAACAAGACATGGGTGCATCAAGTAGTAGACTTCACCCTCCACAGCAACAACACCCACCATTGTATGAAAGAACTACCAAGCTAGAAGATACCTTGCAGCAATTCATGCAATTATCCCTCCAAAATCAAAAGAATACAGATGCTTCAATTAAAAATTTGGAGGTGCAAGTGGGACAATTGGCCAAGCAGTTAGCGGACCAGAAGAGTGGATCGTTCTCCGCTAATACACAAACAAATTCCAAGGAGCATTGTAAGGTAGTGGCTACAAGAAGTGGGAAGACATTTGGGGAGAGTAATCCAAGTGATAAAGAGAAAAAGGTGATGAAAGACAATAGCGAAGCAGAAGACAAAGATGAAAGTGTAGTGGAGGAGGTGGAGAATAAAAGAGTGAGTGGAGAGATTGAGAAAAAGAAAAAAAAGATTGAGAAGGAAGTTGGAAAGGCACCACCTACAAAGAATCTTCCATACCCACATGCTCCTTCAAGAAAAGACAAAGAGAGACAATTTGCAAGGTTTCTAGACATTTTCAAGAGGTTGCAGATCAATATTCCTTTTTCAGAAGCCTTAGAGCAAATGCCAACTTATGCTAAATTTATGAAGGAGTTATTATCAAAGAAAAGGAGATTCATTGAAGAAGAAACTATTGAGTTGGAGGCCGGTTGTAGTGCAATCATTCAGAAGTCCCTACCTCAGAAATATAAAGATCCAGGCAGTTTCACAATCCCTGTAACCATAGGTACTCTACCTGTGGGTAAGGCATTATTGGACTTAGGGGCAAGCATTAACTTGATGCCCTTGTCTATGATGAGAAGAATAGGAGATTTGGAAGCTAGACCTACTCGGATGACATTACAGTTGGCTAACAGATCAATTAAGTATCCTCATGGAGTGGTGGAGGATGTTTTGGTCAAGGTGGACAATTTCATGTTCCCGGTGGATTTTGTGGTGATGGACATGGAAGAGGACATAGAGGTGCCTCTAATACTTGGTAGGCCTTTCACTTTACTTTTATTGATTTTTTCAAAAGTTTTTTTTCTTGTTGCTTAATTCTATTTATCTCCTCCTCGAGAGCAATAAGTTGTACTTCTCTTTCAATCTTTTCTTTTTCTTTTTGAAGTACCTCTTGTTGCTTCCAAAGTTTTAGTGCTTCAACCTCCTTAACTATTCTTTTAAAACTTTTAGGAGATTCAAATTCACTATTACTTTGAGAAGTATGACTCATGATTAAGCAATAAGAATTTTTATATGCTATGCAAAAGATATAAAATGTTTTTGTAATTTTTAAGGAACAAAAATAGAACTTGGAAGTCTAAGTGTACAAGTTGCACTATCAAGGGAGGTGAGCTACTAAGAGTCACTTAATAACCAAGCCTTTTCAAGTGGAAATCACTAAACTCCTTTGTGGTATCTTTGATTCCCCAAAACTTTTCACAAAAATTTTTGTATGCTTTTTCACAAATTTGTTTTTGAAACTTATCTAAACATGAACAATTAAAAGCTACACAATACTAGACGTTTCAAGGCAGCAAAGTAAACACAATTAAGGTCAAACAACTTAAAGGAAGCAAGAGTAAGCAACTAGTCGGATAACCTTAAGTGGAAGCTTGAAACATATGAAATTTCCAAGCCACTTCCACTAGTACTACACGTGAGTAGGCTACCAAGGAGTTAGATATACCTGACCAGCTTCTTAATACTCCCTCCAAGATTTATGGTGCCACATGCATGCATTTATGAGTCGAGTCCATGACATCATTGCATGATAAATGAGTGTGCATGTGATATTGATTGTGTATGTGTGTTATTTACATGTGACTTATGTTTTTTTGTGTGTGTGTCCTATCTAACCTTTATTTCTACACCTGAAACCAAGTGAGATATTTCTCACTCCCTAGTTTTTCTTTGTATGTGTTTAAATTGTGTTGCAGGTGATCATCAGTATAAGGATGTTGGTGATGAGGCTTAGGCTTTAATTGGGCATGCCCTGATAGGATATGTGACATCGAGGCTTAGCTAGGTTTAGCATTGGAGTTTCATTACTATTATTGTGTTTTGGAAAGATTGATATTTTATTTTGTTATCATTTCTGCATTGGACTATGATTTGCGAAATATGAATGTGAACTCTCTATCTATGTGTTTTGAAACCTTATTTTTAAGAAAGTTTTATTTACTCAAGAATGTACTTTATATTTATTGTGTATTATGTACGTGAGGTAGATGGTGTCACACTACATGTTTAGAGCTACTTCAAATACTTATCAAGAATCAAATTTTAACTGCTTTATATCAGATCATAAATCCATAGCCATATCACATAAGAAAATTCATTCTTGTACCTCCTCATCTAAGTGGCTCAAAATCCTAAACTCACAATATTGAGGCAAATACTGGTAAGCCATTTTATCACAATACCCTAATGGTAGTAAAATGCCTATCAACTAAATTTCATAGTGCAACAAAAGGGACACAGATGAAACATAGGCACTAGGGCAAAGCACACGAAACACGTACCTCAATAGAGTGAACACAAATAAAGATGGAACACAAACATGAAGATTAGAGTCATGAGAGAGGGAGATCGCCAGAGTTACACTGTTGGAGGCACGAGATAGACGATAATGTAGGCGCGAGAAAGATGATCGCCATTGCTAGAAGCGTGAGAGAGACGATCACCACTACTAGAAGCACTAGAGAGATGAGAGTGGAGGCACGAGATACAAAAGGGGAACATGTTTCATTCATTTGATGATACTACTTTTAAGATTGGTTATTTAAGAATTGATTTTGTATGTAGTATACAAAATTGATTCTTAAATAACCAATCTTAAAAGTAGTATTAAGACAAACCTTTTAAGATCGGGTATAAAAGAACCGATTTTGTATACTACATACAAAATTAGTTCTTAAATAACCGATTTTAAAAGTAGTATCAGACAAACCTTTTAAGATCGGGTATATAAGAACCAACCTTAAAAGCATTCTTAAGATCAATTAAAACTTAATCGATCTTAAAAATGGTGACATTATTTACAAAAATGTCACTACGTCACTTTTAAGATCAGTTCTCTCTTAATCGATTTTAAAACTCCAATTTTAAAATTAATTTTTGCACTAGTGTCATTATCTTCAATGTCATTTTGTCATATTATATTGCTTGTTTGAATAATAATTAATTGGATAAATTAGGCATTATACCAATCTTTGTGGGAGTGAGACATGTATTTATTAATTTATTACCCATAAAACTAGTATATCTTTCTATTCTTTTATCATGCATAATGATTATGGTTGTTAGTGTAAATTGTAACACTGTATCTAGGGTGAATTGAGTGAGTTGTGAGAGTTTTTGGGCAAAGATTTAGTTGACCTTGAGGGGAGACAATATATAAGGTTTTTGTTGAGAATTGAGTCTCACAAACACATTTCTCCATATTTTAGAGAGAGGTACTATAGGCATGTGCATTATTTTTTCTCTCTGAACCTTATTTTCATTGGATGATTCTTTCCTCAGAATCCCTAATCCTTTCTTGTATGTCTTAATTCAGGTTCTTGAAGCTTAAATCTAGTTTATAGTTGTACAAAGCTCTTCGAAGAACTCAAATTCCTTATTCTCTTCCTTTTCCTCATTTCTTCATCTTAGTGACTAGGAATTGAGGTAAAGGAAGTTAGGATGAACTGATTGGTTGATTTGATGAATAATGTTGTTGTTTTCATCAAATATGACTATGTATGTGGTTGAAATCAAATTGAATGGTGAAGGGAAAAAAGGATTTTTGGTGTTTTTGAGTGTTGAGGTGAATTTTGGTGATTGATCATACACGATGTTGCATGTTAAAATTGGTCTTGGATTTGAGTGGTTTGAAGTATCTATATACTTATTTACATGTTACATGTTGGAGATTTCTGGATTTTAGGTGGATTAAGACAATTTTTTCAAGTCTGCATTCATAAATTTTTTATATCACGTCGGGTGCACTTTTGTGGCACCAAACACAGTTCTAACTAGAGGTCTCTGTCTTGTTCGCATTGAGTCTAGGATCGGTGGCACCAAGTATGAGGAGAGAGACTCGTTTTGGATTGGAATGCCAACGAGTGTGGTTTAAATAGCGTCAAACATGATAGCATAGGAAGGTCTCTAACTTGGTGACACTGAACTCCAATTGGGTGACACCAAACATGATCAAGGCAAATGCTCCTTGCTTGGATGGCCTCAAACATCACTAAGATGACGATGGGTGTCAAGCAGAGGCTTTTTTCCTAATATGAAGTCAGGCGTGAGTTTTGTCACATTTGGAATGAGGTATGAGGGGGTCTCTACCTCATACACGTTGGGTGTGGTTTTGATGATGTTGAGCGTTGGTGAGGCAAAAAGTTCCCTGCCATGATGGCGTTGAATGCAAGGTATGTTGCGTCGGGCACAGGATGCCTAGATGGTGAGTGTATTTTGCAATGTTGTATGATGAACTTGAGTAGATGTGTGAGTTTTATTGCATGTTGTCTGAAGTATGAAAATTGTAGTTCTATGTATGTTGATTAGATATGACATATGTAGTAGATGTTTGTATGGTGTTGGATGATGATGAACATATGTATGATGTATATACGTATGATGTTGTTGATCTCTATATGCATTGACTAGATATAATGTATATAGATGATGTTATGTGAGGTGTGGATGTTGAGAATGCGGTATGACATTAAGGCATGCTGGTTAACTTAGGACTTGAGGAAAGAAAATGTTTTTGAAAACTGAAGATTCTTCATAAGGAATCTTGGGGTGATGTTCAGGTAGGCCACTATTGGAAAACCCTCCATGAGTATGTGTGTCTTTTGAAGTCGATTTTGAGGCATGCTAAGTCTCCTTTAGGTCCTTAGCTAGTGATTGAGTAAGGTAGAAGGTTAAGGGCTACAACCCTTAGCCAAGTACCTGGAAAGGTTGTGTGGTTCCTTGAGAATAATCTATAAGCGAATTTCATATGTGACTTGGTAATGCATGCTTAGGTCGTGATAAACATATATTTAGTTTTGCATAACGGTGGAACCAGACTTTTCTAATGTAAGTGATAAAACTCGAGAAATTAGAGCAAAGATTATTGTCCCATTTTGTTGTGATTGAGTTGGCACTTCAAGTGCGAAAATAATTGGGTTAGTTCGGTAGGGTGGAGTCACTTAGATTGCTCGTGTTGTTAAGAAATTTTCGTAGCTGATTGCGTGACAACACATTAGTTAAAGTGTACGCATATGATGTATGTTGTGGTGTGTTCAAATGCATTGTTAGATGTCTTGTTTAACATGGTTTGGATTAGATATATGTTAGCTTTAAAGTGTTTACCTTTCATATATGTTTTTGGTATGATGTTGTATGATATAAAATTATTTTATATGCTTACATATTTTTAAACTCTACCTTACCATTTTGTTTCTATGTGGTTTGGACTGCGATGATCATACATTATATGGTGACAGGCAGAGGGACTTTTGTTGGTGTTGGTGCTACTTTATGTAGCCGATATAGGTGTGCTAAACCAACACTAGGTTATATAGTTTACCGTTGGATTATTGTATATACATGTATATGATTTATATCAGTATAATGGTTGCACTTTTATACTCAAATTATATATATGTCCATATATCTATTAGTTAAACTCTTGTAATTCTAGTAGACTAATTTTTGCTACTAATAGTTATTCTATATAGTGTAGTGACCGTGATGGATCGTTACATAACTTTGTTATGACTCTTAATTGTTAACATATTCTTTCCCTGTTACATTGTTATTTTTCTCTCCTTAAGTTTCATAATCATCATAATCATGGACATAAAAACATAAAGATCTTTTATTAATTATTATTTTAAATAGTGTAACAATTGAGTTGATAATCATATTCTTTTCTTAATTTGTTGTTATTTTGTGTAACGTCTCATTTAAAAATAATAATAATCTAGAGTAATATGAGGAGGAATTCACTCACTTAATAACTCATATTTTATATTGAATTTTAATGATTCAACCATTAAATTATTATTTTTGTATAAATTAAGTTTGCAAATTTTAAAAAAATTTGAAAACTATTTGATATTTTATTTTATTAATTCAAATTGATGGATAATCATAAATTTGAATTAATAAATTGAAGTATCAAATAATTTTTAATTTTTAAAAAACTTATAGACTTAATTTATGCATTAAGAATTTTTAATTCAACGATTAGATCATTAAAATTTGATGTATAACATGAATTATTGCGTGAAATATGTTTATGTAAACTTATATTTTTTTTATTAAATTACACTGATGACACCAAAATTCGAACCTAGAACTTTGTGCTTATTATCTAACCTTCCATCATTAAATGAATCATATTAGTTCATTGACTTACTTTAAAAATAGGTGAATATTTTTTTTTCATTCTCTCTCTAATTTATTTATTTTAAATTAACAAAATAAAAAATAACAATAAATATTAAGTAAAATAATAATAATATTTTTGATTTATTATTTTCTAAACTAAATAATCTCTTAAAAAATTATCTTATATTTTGTTTTATTTATTTTCTATCAAACAATTTTATTTTTACTTTATTTCTTATCCACCTTTTTTCCTCTATTTTTATCATCTTTATTAAATACTATATTAGTTATTGCATAAAAGAAAACATGTTATATTCATTATTTTCTTCTTACATATCGAAACTTGAGAGACTTAAAAAACGTAAGCACATAACATGTGAAATAGCAACTTATAAACACGTATATCAAATTTTTTTATAAGTAGCCTAAAATAAACTCCGTACCTATATGTATTTTTTAAAAAATAAAAAATAAATAAAAAGTGAGTAGTTGATTAACAATAAAAAAAAAAAAGTTAGAGTAATTTTTGAATAATTGTAATTATGTGAGTAGTTTTGAAAAATCGTAGAGAGAGAAAAAAAAATAATTTAAGAAATAGATATAAAGATAATATGTACACAAAAGTGATAATCCTTTATTAATGTACGTAATAATAAAATTCAGTATAAATGTTAAGTTATGTATTTATAATATATATATATATATATATATATATGTACATTATTGGTATTAATACGAATAGACGTTACACTTTTTGGTTTCCACTTTTTCTTAAATGTTTTTGTCCTTCAATTATTTTACAATCTCATTTCTCCAATGTATGGGTTAAAGGATACAATGGAAAAAAAATTATGCATTAAAAATGTAACTATGCACTCTTCCAATTCAAAATAATGTTTTACGTAACTACATACTCTACGTAAAGTTGTGCTTCATTTCTTTTCATCCCTCAAATTAATGTATATACTGTGTTTCTTTCTCTTGCTCTCATATTTTTTTTAAGTTTCCCAAATCTAATTCATTTTTCTCTCAAAACCTTTCAAAAATAAATATACTGAAACACAAAGTGTCTTTTTTCTACTAGTTTATTATATATATATATATATATTAAAGACAATATATATCTTTTATGAGTGGTAATTTTGTTCGATGTAAATAAGATTATATGAATAATAATTTTTAATTTTAAATATTTAATACAATTATATACTTAAAAATTAAAATTTATATTTAATATCAATGTCAGTTAAGTTGCATATAATTTAAAAGTAATTAAATTTTTTTTATTAAAAATAGTTTAACATATAAATTTAACAGATTTTTTTTGTACAAATTTAAATTTATTTTTTTAAAATAAATAATTTTTTTAAAAAGATTAAATTAAATTTTTAATTAAGTAAATTGGACTTTAAATAAATTAAATTAAAAATATTTATTTAAAATTTAACCTATTTTCATCATTAACTTCTGTATTTGATAAAAAAAAAATTTACATTAGACTGAATTTAGATTTGAAAATAGAAAGTGAATAAAGGAAAAAAAAATATCATTGGGTGGTGGGATTAATAAAAGCAGAAAACGGCATCGTTTGTGATGTGTGTGAGTGTGTGTGTGTGTCTTTCTGTGTGTCTTGTTCAGTTTTGCGCACAAAAAGTACGAATTTTCTCATTTGCTCAGATATAGAGCAACCCCAGAGGCAAACAGCACCTCCCAAGATCCGATCAGATCCATTCAACCCTTCTCTCTTCACTCTCCCTCTCATCAATTTCCTTACACACCCCTTCAATTTCCCCCCACACCACTTTCCCACCCCATTTCCTCTCTCTCCGGTTAGGGTTTCTTCAATTCCGCCTCCAAATGCGCTAGATCCAGACCCAGGGTTCGCCAACTTCGAGTGCATGAAGCTTTGGTGCTGTCTCTGCTTCACTGACCCAGAAGACCAAGACCGCCACCTTATGAAGGAGGACGACTTTTTCGGAAACGACGCCGTCGTTTCCGCCGTTTCCGACGACCAATTCGCCATGCCCCAGACCTTCCCTCTCCGCTCCGACGCCGAGAGCAGCTCCGCCGCCGCCTGTCCGGACACCGCCGCCGCCGACACCCGCGATTTGAGCCACAAACGCGCCAAGTTCTACGCCGATTTCGAGTGAGTTTCGCGGAAACTGGGGCGCGTGTGTTGTAGTAGTAGGAGTGTGTTCGTTCTTGTAAAGATTATGATGGTTCTGCAATGCATTGTTTGCGGATGTTCTCTTCCACGTGCCGTGTGAGCGCGTGAATGTTTGAGTCGTGTCGTAGGAGTGTGTGCATTGTGTAAGAGAAATGCAACAAGCACACTCTTTTTTAACGCATTCTCCTCCCAGTGATGACGTGTCAGTTCAGCTCATTCTTATTTCTTCAGTTCTATTGTGTTCATTGTTGCGAGCTTTGATGCTGTGCTCTTTAAAACTCTAAACTTTTGTAAAGGGTTCCCGGGTTTTCAGCGACGATTGATTGTGGTTTTTGTCTTTTTTTGCAGGGAGCATCACTTTTCAAAGCTTAATGCCGGGAAATGCGGTTCTTCTAATGAATATGGTGATTATGACTATATTAAGGGCTCTCTTCGGCCCAACGGCGATACTTGTTATGAAGCTTTTGCATTGATGGGTGCGGGTGAGGAGAGTAGCTTTGATTCTAGCATTGTGAAAGACGGTGAAGGAGGTGATAGTGATCTCTCGAAAGTGGAAGATGTAGAGGTCAGAATGGATCTCACCGATGACTTGTTGCATATGGTAAGCCACGTGGAAAAAATCGTTTCTGTGATGTTTCTTTCTCTCTTAAGTGAATTTAGCTTCTTGTGATACCTGACTATGATTTTTGAATTCACCCTTTTCTGGTATGTTTTTACCTTTATTATTATTATTATTATTATTATCTCTTACGTCTACTTTTGCTACCTATGAAATTTAGGTTTTCTCGTTTTTGGATCATCCCAATCTTTGTAAGGCTGCCAGAGTTTGTAAGCAGTGGCGTGGTGCTAGTGCTCATGAAGATTTCTGGAAGAGTTTGAATTTTGAGGATAGGAACATATCTGTTGAACAATGTGAGCCTATATAGGATTTAGTAAGCTGTTGTTTATGTTTATCTTTTTTGGTTGTTTTATTGTTGTGGCCTGTGGGTGAGTATTATGACTTAAACACGAGGAAAACCCAACCCAAAAGATTAGCTCATTAGGTAGGAGAGTTTAGTGGCTTAACCACATCAAACTCTTTATTTTACTCAATGTGGGACTCCTAACTGTGAGCCTTTTTCTAGGATAAGCATAGTTATCAAACCTAGATAGTGTGAAATAACTAACCCCAAAATCCTTAAATGCTTTACCAGGATGGCTGCTTTACCTAGATTATAGATCCAACAGAAATAATTTATTTTATACACATAAATTATAAAAATTTTAAAAAACCGAAATTAAAGCTACATTCTTTGTTCATAAGTTGTAGTAGAAAGTAGCGAGTTGAGATGCAGAACAGAGGGTGAAAAAACAAAAAAGGAGAATGACACCTGCAAGCTTCAACAGAGTGTGCCATGGATGATGACAATTAGTGGTCTCACGCTCGTGAGGGTGGACAGTGAACGAGATCAACTAAGGCTTGCTTTAAATGTGAAGGAGGCTTTCCAATTTTTCTGATGCCAAATATGTTGGGAAAACAACAAAAGTATTAAAAATATTGGTTTTGAGAAGTCAGAAAATCGGGGCAAAATTGAGTTGCTTTAAATTTGTAATGACATCCAGCTGCAACATGCTGCAAGGGTGCTATTGCACTGTTATAGACATGCCTGAGAACTGCAAGTAGAAGTCCTTTAATTTAACTTTTTGTTGGTAAATGTGCTTATTAAAACTCTGAATTTTCAGTCGAGGACATGTGTAGGCGTTATCCTAATGCCACATCAATGAGCATATCTGGTTCTGGTATTTACTTGCTTGTCATGAAGGCCATCTCTTCATTAAGGTAGATATTTTATGCAGTATTGCAGTCAATCAAGTTTTATCTTGGACTCCGGCTGATTTATATCATCATTTTCAGGAATCTAGAGGTTCTAACATTGGGAAGAGGACAAATAGCTGATACTTTTTTCCATGCTTTAGCCGATTGTTGTATGTTAAAAAATTTGAATATCAATGATTCTACACTAGGCAATGGCATCCAGGAGATAACAATTAATCATGACAGATTGTGTCATCTTCAATTAACAAAATGCCGTGCGATGCGAATAGCAGTCAGGTAAATATGCTTTGTGGTTTAACTGACATTTAGTTATCACTTTGCAGATCAATTAAATTGTGATTGTTTATTCTTTTTCAGGTGCCCACAACTTGAAACTATGTCGTTGAAGCGTAGTAACATGGCACAGGTTGTGCTTAATTGTCCTCTTCTGCAAGAGCTTGATATAGGCTCATGCCACAAACTTCCCGACGCTGCAATACGTGCTGCTGCAACTTCATGCCCTCAACTTGTCTCACTGGACATGTCAAATTGTTCATGTGTCAGTGATGAAACTCTACGTGAAATAGCTTTGAGTTGTGCTAACCTTAGTTTTCTTGACGCATCATACTGCCCAAACATATCTTTGGAGGTGTGCTTTAGAGTCTTTTATCACTTAAGCATCTATAGATTAAATAATAGTATCTGACCTTGTTTGACACGGATACTCTCTTTTTTGTTTTATCTTTGAAGTCTGTTAGACTGCCGATGTTGACAGTTCTAAAGCTTCATAGTTGTGAGGGCATTACTTCTGCGTCAATGGCTGCAATAGCTCACAGTTATATGTTGGAGGTATGTTATTTGTCTAAGATACTAGAAATTAGTATGTCTCTGAATTACTGATTATAGACTTCTAGGATGAATAATTGGTGCCACTGCTACTGCAGGTTTTGGAGCTTGACAATTGCAGTCTGTTGACTTCAGTGTCTTTGGATCTTCCCCGTCTGTGTACTATTAGATTGGTACACTGTCGCAAGTATGTTTCTGCTCATTCTTCTTCCTCCCTGAAAAACATTGTAATTACAATATTATATTATTTGTCTCTGCCTTTCTGTGTTGCTCTTTACTTGTTTAATTCCACACCCTATCCCTGTTTTTCAGTAGTATTTTCTAATTTATTTTCTTGAACTGTTAATTGGCAGATTTGCTGATTTGAACTTGAGGACTATGATGCTTTCTTCCATACTAGTGTCAAATTGCCCTGCACTCCATCGTATCAACATCACTTCAAATTCACTTCAAGTATGTCTTGTAATTAAGTTGTAATTTTTCCTCCAAGCCCATGTATACTATAGTAGTGTAAAGGATGGACTTTGTGGTGATGCAGAAATTAGCATTGCAAAAGCAAGATAGTTTAACCACATTAGCTCTGCAATGTCAATCTTTACAAGAAGTGGACCTCTCAGAGTGTGAATCTTTGACAAACTCTATATGTGATGTTTTTAGTGATGGTGGAGGATGTCCTATGTTAAAATCACTAGTTCTTGACAATTGTGAGGTACTTGAATATGCCCTCCTTTTTTGGCACTTGCTGGATCAATTTGCTTATCCATGACGTATGCTAGTAGTATGTACTGACAAATGACATGGGTTTTGTGTTACATATTGGTGCTATTTACCATATTCTAGTTTTTTTCTAGCCAACTTGTGTAGTAGGTGTGCCATGACTACTAACTTGAAAATTGACCTGTGGAGTTTTTTTTTACAATGGGTCTATTTAGATAAACTTATCAAGAAGCACTTTTAGGAGGAAAATATAAGTAGAAAAATCCAAATAAGTTATTCCATGAGCTAAAACTAGCTTATACATAAGTTAAAAATAAGATTTTGGAGAAGTTAAAGGCTAGAGCTTATACAAATTAGCTTATGTTAAGCTAATTGTAGATTGTGGAGAAGTTTATTTCATTTTTCCTTGCTATTTTTTCTCTGCTAGAATTGTTTCGGGAGACGCTTATTCCAAACAAGCCCAATGTCATTAATTGTATTTTTTATCTGTGACATTGATTGCTTCTAAACTTCCAAGTTTTGGAAGGGTTTTCTTGATATCTACACATAAATAAGAGTTGGTGAATTGGGGTGTACAAATTACAAATATTACCAAAATTAGTGGAAACATATACATGACATATTAGTTGTTGTCACAATGTGCGCATTTCAATGAATCAATTGGACATTATTTGCTTCACCATGGATATTTTAGCCTGTGCTGAAAAATTCTTTACAATGGATTATGCCTCTATTTTTCTGGTGGTTGCACCTGAGAGATTAGTTTGTTTTTTTCTCCTTAATTCCTGCTCTTGCTTATAGTTGACTTTGTTGGTAAAATGCTCTGGCCATATTATTTTTTTACTCAATGTTGGTGTTTTATTGAATTTAGAGCTTGACATCAGTTCGGTTCACCAGCACCTCTTTAGTCAGTCTTTCACTTGGTGGTTGTCGGGCAGTTACTACTCTTGAGCTCACATGCCCTAACCTTGAGAAAGTCATTTTGGATGGTTGTGATCATTTGGAAACAGCAAAGTTTTGTCCTGTAAGTTGTTTTGATTTTTTTAGTTGCTTTATACCTTTTCTGTGACTCGAAAATTTTGAATTCTTATGCTTTTGGATTTGATCATTTGGCCAAATATGCTAAATCTATAATCAATAATGAATTTTTAACATAACATTTGCTTGTGGATTTGGCTGTTTGCATGGTATAAGAACACGATTGTGCAATGGAATCAAAGGGGTTGTTTTTGGGTTAAGGTTTGGGACTAGGTGTACATAATAACATCAAGAAGTTTAGTGGTATGATATAGTCATTGAGTTCATTTCTTTTTCACCTGCTTCTTAGGTTGGTCTTCGATCTCTCAATTTAGGAATATGTCCGAAATTGAATATACTCAGCATAGAAGCCATGTTTATGGTCTCACTTGAGTTGAAAGGATGTGGTGTACTGTCTGAAGCATTACTTAATTGTCCTCTCTTGACATCTCTGGATGCTTCCTTTTGCAGGTGATGTTTCATTTGTTATTCTCAGGCAGCCTGCTTGTATGTGGACTGATGTTAATTGTTTTTTACTTACAGCCAACTCACTGATGAATGTTTGTCTGCAACAACAGCCTCATGCCCATTGATTGAGTCATTAATATTGATGTCATGCCCATCAATTGGTTTAGATGGACTTTATTCTTTGCGTTGGCTCCTGAATTTGACCCTGCTGGATTTGTCATACACTTTTTTGGTCGATTTGCAGCCTGTTTTTAAGTCTTGTCTGCAGCTAAAGGTTAGAGTTACCATTTATTTTCATGCCTATATTTTACTTCTAGGTGACATATTAGTATTACAAATATCACAAGGGTAGTAAAGCACTACCCACCATGTACTCAAGAAAAGTGCAGCCAACTTTTAGTCAGACAAATTGATTTTAATAACACCTAATGAAATTTGCAGTGTGCAGGTGCATGTGTTTTATGTTTATAATGAGTTGGGTTCATTGTCCTCTTCCCTTAATGAATTTTTTTTATTAACTTTACACAGTTGTGATTTTAATTGAGTTCACTTGCCAGAATAAAATTAATTGTAATAATGTGTTAGTGTGCCCCTTGTTTTTACCAACTAATGTCTGTAGTATCAAGCTGGGTTCATTGTCTTCATACTAAAATTTATTTGTTTTTAATTTGGTTCACTTGCAAGTATAAAATAATTGGGTAATGATAGTGATTTTGGGTGCTGTTATATCTTTTAATGGGATGATTGTTTAAATCCATGAAGTCTTGATCAATTATTGTCAAGATGTCCCACATTGGACAGGATTATCGCCAGTAGCTCAAAGTTGCTTATCAAAAAAGCAGTTTTGTGCTCTTTTTTTTTTTTTTCTGCTTCTAATTAATATAAAACTTTACCCAAACATCTCTAAAATTTCAGAAGTATTATTTTATTTTATTTTTTTTTATAGTAAGTGCCTTTTTAGAATTTTTTTTAAAAGAAATGGGCTTGTTATTATTCCTACAATATCCTCCTCAGTACTTAGACCATCCATTGGTAATGGAAAGTTTAATTTACCTTTCTGTAATTATACTCCTTGCCGTTTCTGATAGTGTTATTCCTTGTTTCTTTGAAGGTATTAAAGTTGCAGGCATGCAAATATCTCACTCACACATCACTTGAACCTCTTTACAAGGGGGGTGCTTTACCAAAACTTCAGGAGTTGGACTTGTCTTATGGAACACTCTGTCAGTCTGCCATAGAGGAGCTTCTTTCCTGCTGCACACACCTTACACGTGTGAGCTTGAATGGCTGTGCTAATATGCATGATTTAAACTGGGGATGCAGTCATGGGCATATTGCTGAGTTGCCTGATGTAAATGTTATATCCGTTGCAAGTTCTCATGAAAATGTCCACGAGTTAAGTGAGCAACCCACCCGTTTACTGCAGAACCTGAACTGTGTGGGATGTCCAAACATTAGGAAAGTTTTCATTCCATCAACAGCACACTGTTCCCGTATGTTGTTTTTAAACCTTTCTCTATCTGCTAATTTGAAGGAAGTTGATGTAGCTTGTCTCAACCTAAGCTGGCTTAATCTAAGGTATGGTTGTCTCTAATAACTGGGTTAATTTCTATCCTTCTAATAGCAGTTGATAACATTTTAACTTCTCAATTCAGCAATTGTTCCTCTTTGGAAGTTTTAAAGCTAGAGTGTCCAAGATTGACCAGTCTTTTTCTTCAGGTAATTGTTTTTATCTTCCTATTTAAATAGATTCTTGCATCCATTATATTTTTTAGTTCTTGCAAATGTTGTCAGATCTTATTCTAGCTGTGCTTTTGAGTAAACTGAGGTAATATGTCCGTTTTAGGTTTTATGCACTGCAGCTGTCATCGGCTATCATGAGAAATTTATTGTAATTGATTTAGTTTTTGCTTCATTCTTTTGGCTTGGGTTGCTCTCCTTTTCAAGTTCCACATAACTAGGTGAATGGACTGCAAACATTAAAAAAAATGTTTGAAAGGGTCGGCTTTGTCCACTTGAAATTCAGCATGAATGAATGTGTTTGATATGAGTGATATTGTCAATTGTGAATTCAACTTTAATTTGTAATTCAGTTCTTGCAACTTCTTTATTGATTCATTTTTGTGCCATAACTTATTTGCTTTATTAATTATATTTTAGTTTTTCTAATGGAGTTGTAATCTGGGTTTTATAGTCTTGCAACATTGATGAGGAAGCTATTGAGGCTGCTATATCAAAATGCACTATGCTGGAAACTCTTGATGTTCGCCACTGTCCAAAGGTGAGAGCAAATGCCGGTACCATGTGGACTCATTCTTTCATTAATTTTAGCCGATTAACCTTTTCACACATGATGGAATATGTTGATGTTTTGACTATTTTTGTTATATTTTACGGTGCTTTACAGATAAGCTCAATGAGCATGGTAAGATTACGTGCTGCATGTTCTAGTTTGAAGCGTATATACGGCAGCTTGTCAACTTCATAAACTTAACCAGGGATCTTTGAATATTCCAGTGGTTTTCACTTGGGAGTGAAGACACACTTGGTAATAAAACTGGTTATATTTCCAAATGTATTGTAAATGGATGACTTGTTATTGTTGTTTGTTTGGCATATATAGGAATCAGGTTATCTTTTGTGGATTGTTAAAATAAATCTATCGTTGTTATACTACTGTTGTAAATTTTACATTTCAATTTTGTTGATGCATATTTTGTTCTAAATAGTCTAACAACCTTTTATTTTGTTGTTGTAAATTGGTGCATCTGATCCTTTCCTTGCCATAGCATGCCATTGTTTATGCTGTAAATTCTACCCATGTACTGACATATATATTTTAATTTACACATTTTTATTTTGGACCTCACCTCTCGAGACATTGATGCAATATATGTGAACATTTATATTTTGAAGAAATTGATATTTACATAAAGTTCAAATGGAAACCCCTCGGGAATTATTTGCTTAAATACTGCTGCCATATAATTCGAATCAATCATACCACCCTTAACCATATTCGCTCTGTCGATTATTCTCTCAAGTTTAAAATTAGTGTAAATTTATGTAACTATCTATATAAATAATTAAGGGATTTCTTAAGTGCTTGTATGATAAAGCAATCTCTACATTTTCAATCTCAACCTACCGATATCATGGGTTTAATTTTAAAGGGTTTCTTTTTTATTTCCCTTTTGGAATATAACAGGGCAATGTATTAAAGTTTAACCGCCAGGTGCAAGCTCTGGTATTGTATAGCCAAACCCCATAATTAGAATCTTCAATGCCAATGCTTAAAAGCATCATTTTTTTTATATGTTCAAATGTTATCCATACGAAAGTAACGTACTTAAGAAACCAGCAGTGATACTGATTGCTGAAAACGCCATACTCACCTCTCGCCTCCGTAAACTTGAATATTTGATGCGGTTGTTCATAGTATATAAAAAAAATATTTTTTTAAAATTTCACATGTAGTAAATGAATTTATAACATCAAGGACTAAATTACAATATATATAAGATTAAATTACATTTTTTTAATTCTTAATTAAAATTTTCCAAAAAAAGTTTAGAAACTAAATTATGTATTAAATCTAAATTTAAAGATATTGGGTGGATTTCCACTTGACTTTGAGGTCTCTTTCATCGTTGTTGTATTTGACGACCCGAACTTAAAAATAATAGTGAAGAGATTCAAGCCAAATGTTTAATAAATTTATGATTGCATATGAAATTTATGGCATTGGCTTTGCAAATTTCCAAAGTTGAACTCTAGGTTTTAAAAAAGATTAATAAATTTAGCCACAAGACCAACCTTGCAAACCATGTACATATTATATATACGATGCATAAGCGATCGGAATAGTCAAAACCAGGAAGAGAAATTTCTACATGTCTGCCACTCTGCATCGAGTACATTCTATAGAGGATGATTAATCAATCAGAACTAAGGTATAGTATGTTCTTCACACACACAGTAGAAAAAGAAGTTGTTGCATTTCTTACTATGGAGTTTAAGCATAACAACTTTTTACGCAGAGGCCTTACACTTCAAAACCAGAAAGAGAACAAGAAGGATTAAAACAATGCCACCAGACGAACCACCAACTCTATGAATCCAATAACGATCAAACCTGGTGAAGTTGCGGTCAAGAAAAGCTGATAAAGCTATGGCTAAAATCAACACAAAGAGAAGCAAGGGCAACCCAAAACCAAAGTTTATGGATTGGTCATCATCTTCCAACTCACTCTCTGGTCTACTGTCTATGTAGAGAGGAGAAGCCACAGCTAGAATCACCAAGCTTATGGCTGCCACTCTCTCATATGAAGAAATTTTCCTTCTCCTGCCGCTATCTCCATCTTCCATTGATGATCAATGAATTATGATTACTTTGGTTCTCTGTTGGCTTCCTTTTTTGTTATGCCAAAATATGTGTATGGTGAAGGGAATCCTGCTTTTTTAAGCAAACATTGAGAAGCATCCAATACACCCAACAATTCCTTTTTCATTGGGCTGATATGATTCATCCAAATAATTCTAATTTGTGATTCTTAATCATGTTGTTTTGAATATCAAATAGTCTATGTGGAAAGAATACTTATTTTTCATACATTTAAGATCTTTTATAAAAATTAGTCACTGTTTTTGATAATGATGTTTTATACTAATATTATGAATAAAAAACAACTTACATATAGTCCCTTAATTTTTTGTAGAATCAGAGTTTCATGTTAGCAATTTACGAATTAAAAGTTAATATAAATATTACTGAAATAAAACTATAATTTTAATTAAGTATGTACACAAAAAGCATTTAAAAGTTGCATTTATATTTTGCCCTTAATCTAATACTACTTGGGCTAGTAAATAAGACTCATTTTTGGTGTGTTGACAAAATTATAGCATTTTGTTTTGTTCTCTTTGGTTCCTATCCATTTCAGTGGAACCAAAATATATCATTGTTTTTTAACCCAATATCTTCTTTTTTTTTTTCCTTCTATTATATATATATATAT